AGCATGCTCACAGGCTTCGACATCTTCCTTGGAAAAGAAATAAGATATTGTGAGTAAGATCTGAAGCGCCAATTCCTCTTATAACTGAAAGCTAATACTTCAAGGGGACATACGCACACTCACCCAAACACACACAAAAAATCTAAATTAAAGAGTAAGGGGCAGCTTTTCCCAGATAATGAGCTTTTTTCCTCTTTACCCTGCTGATGCAATATGGCGACATCAAGTAAAATAAAATGTATAAGTCATATAATATTGGAACGTCTACGCCGAATAACTTTTTTATTTGATGCTGTATTTTTATGACTGCTGTTTCGATAACTATCGGTTATATGTTTTGAGAGAATAAAAAAAAGTATGGAATACTGTTAAAGGCAGACTGTAAACGATGCCTGCCACACGTTCACGGCCAGCAAGGCAAAAGTAACGGGACAAGCAGAGATTGGTGAAGTTCGAAAAGGAAAAAGAAAAGCAGTTGAAGGCGTAAAGAAGAAGAAAGAAAGAATGATAGAATTCTGCTCGAAAGAAACGAGAAAGAAACATTGTTAGGAGGGGAAATAAATAAATAGAGAGAGTAGGAAACAGTCGTTTGGCTCAAAGAAGAAAAGGAAAGAGAAGAAATGGTGGTAACAAATGAATGAAAAACCTAAAGAACAAAGCCAGAGAAAAAAATAAATAAATAAAGTGTTGGTGGAAGACGTATGAAGTTGGTAATGATAATTGTAATATCAGCCGTTTCCTTATAAGGAAACATTCGACGTACATTGTCCTAACAGTCAATTATACAATAGTCACGCATTTTTTTCCCTCCCTAGCTATCTTACCTGGCTCAGGTGTTTACTTTTGTGCCGGAAGTGGAGTAAATGGTTTCTCATCATTTTAGATGGAAAAAAAACTTAACTCAGCCCCGGTGATCCCAACTCTGCGGCAGCACCTTCCTCATTGCAGTAGTGTTTGTGTAATATCGATGCCAGCTTGACAATGGTCGCGTGGACTGGACAAGAAATGTTTATCTTTGGACTATATGCATATGTGCGTAGCGCTCCCCACGTTAAAAGGACTTTGTGTCACATCCTATCTTAGTAGCGAGGCCGGGTAAATATACTTAGCCATCGGGTTGTGATTAAAGTTTAGTATTTATCCTCAGGCAGAAGAACTCAGCAGTTATGTCTTTGTCTTCGGGCAGAGTGCAACCGAAATTAAAAGGTGTCCGGTCGCGAGAATAGCGGCAGTATCCCCCTCATTGCATTAGAAACGTGGAGATTGTCAGTAATACCGATACTAGCGCAACCGACGAATAACTGGGCTACTTTTGGACCTATACCCGGGTGTATATGCTCAGGCTCCTCACATTAAATTGAATGATTAAATGATTAATTGTCAATAAAATTTTCTTAAAAAAATGAAAAATGGAATGAAAGGCGGAAACGTTTAAATTGTATAGAAGAAGTAATGGAAGGAAAGAAAAAAGAATTTAAAGGAAAATAAAACAATAAAAAAAAGAATGAAAAATACAAGAAAAATGTAAAAAAAATATGAAGCGAAATAAGAAACTTCGAAATTAACAAAGAAAAAACAAAGATCAAAACAATTAAGATAAAAAGGAAAAGAAAAAGAACATTTGTATGCCCCGGCCTTCTTCAGGTGGTTGGAATGTCGAACTGAACCCTTTATTTCACTCACTGGGGTAGACTGTTCTAGTTCCACGTGCCATGTTTAATGGATGTCAGTTATCAGTTATCTCCTGTTAATTTTCCTTCTGAAAGTTCTCTACTGCCTTAACCGGGTATTGAACTCACACTCTTTGGGTCCTGTCACAACGTTTTATTACAACGTTTCGGCCTTTCAGTATTTAAATTAAAATATGGCGACAAAGATGAGGACAATAGTCCGAATAATGTAAATAATGTACATAATACCTCATCTCAGAAATATAGACAGATACTGAAAAATAAAATAGCAAATAAATATTGAAAAAAGAAAATAAGAAGGAAGAAAAATAAAAGGAAAAACGAAAGAAAGAGATAGTTGAAGGAAAAAACAAGAATTAAAAAAATAAACAACAAAAGAAAATATAATGAACAAAAAAATGAAAAAAAGGCCAGAAAAAGAGAAAAGGAAGAAAATGAAAATAAATAAAATGAAAAATGAAAGGAACAAAAAAGAAATAAAGAAAAGGGAAGGAAACGAAAAATAAAACAAAATAAAAAAGAAGCCAAAAAGAAAAACAAGGAAATAAGAAAAAATAGCAAATAATAAAAAAGAAACTATAAAACATTAGAAGACAAGAAAAGAAAAGAAAAATAGAAAAAGAAGAGAAAAATAGAAGAGAAAAAAAACGAAAGAAATGAAGACAAAACGTATAGAAGAAAAAAAAGAAAATCGAAAGAAAAAACAACGAAAAAATCATGCAAAATAGCAAGAAAAAAGAAAAATTAAAGGCAAAGAAAGAAAATGAAAACAGGTAAAAAAAAAAAGAAAGAAAAAGAAAAGAAATTCTGTGAAAGAGAAAGCAACGGAAGGAAACGAAGAAAAAAAAAAGCAAAAGAAAGATGGCGTCCAAACAGAAAAGAAAGAAGAGAAAATAAAAAGAATAAAAATAAAAGTGAAGAAAAAAAAATACTATGAGTAAAGGGATGAGGAGAGACTTGAAATGATCACTGCACTTTCTGTCCGGCAACACGTGTACGTAACGATTTCGTAAGCCGCCAATTCTCACACCATTTACAGTCTATCCGACCTAACCTGACATGTGTAAGCACTCTGCTCAAATACCACCCTCTAACACACACACACACACACAAAAACAGTGTTCAGTTCATGTGAGACTTCATATTAAATCCTAGGCAGTTAATAAATCCAAAGTAAAAAAGAAAATGGAGTAAAAGAGATTTCGCTTAATTGGGATATAACGGGAAAAGAACAGTTGGGTTAATTTAGATAACTGGTCCGATTATGCGAAGTAAATATCTGTTGTAGCCCTCCATGGCGAGTAAAAGATTAACACTTGAATCGTAATCGGTTTACGATGAAAGTAAAGCGAATCCCTAGTGAGCAAGTAATATTTTTCTAATACTATATATTCACCCAATACAGGGCCAAAGATCCACTCAAGTTAGAGGTTTACTAAATGAGGTTGTTGCAGAAACGTAGGAAGAGGAAAAGGTAAGTGCAAATTATTTAGGTACGTAGAGATAATGCAGTTATGTAAGTGCAACATGCGCACGATAGATATCGGTTGTCCCTTGAAGAAATTAAGATTGTAGTGTTCGTGGAAGCACTCTCTCGGGAGTTTGTTTCACATTTTTATTATCACGCGAGGAGAGATATAAATAAATATATAAATAAACATAAAGAAATATAAATAGACAAATAGAGATATGAATTATTTGTATCTGTACTGTTACGACATTCACCCGTAACAGGTTAACACAGTTCTAGCTAATGACTGTAGAGTCATTGAAGAGCTGATTATAATCAGGATCCTTAATCCTGTCAAATCCCCGATTCTGAACAGCCGATAGGGTTGGGTTGTACTGTAGCGTTTAGTTAAACTCCACCTTGCCGCAGAATCAGTGCAGATGAAGAAGCTGGAAGCACCGGGAACGCCGGATGCCGACGCTTGTTAACTGGGACAAAACCGTTCATCGACCGTGTCAGCTTGTCCACCGTAGGAAAAACTACCAAGGACTGATGTCCCTGGCGTCATAGCTAAAACACAGACCCGTTGTCCGCACACTACCGCTTTCGTTTTGAAACAGGAGCTCTAAAGGATATACAAGGTGCGATGTTTAAATTGTCACCATTTTATATCCTTAATTTAACGCATGCACCTTTTTTTTATTTTGTCGACTGTATAGTATAGGGTCAATTGGTCATCGTCTATGTGAAAAAGAGCACCATGACGCAATTCACTCCGACAAAAATTTGCAAACGGTATGCTGTACTGCTTGGCATTCGCACCGAAAGCTCCAATACGGACATTTTATCGTATTTGGGTGTCAATCTTAGAACAGTGCAGAAGATTCTGAAAGAGTTGGATAATATATCCAGTCAACATTATGGTGTTTAGAATGATCACTAGTGATAGCGACGTTATGCCTCCATTCATCTTTCCATAGGGTTTCGAATTCAACATGGCGACCTACATCAAGTGTCTTGGGGGTGGGTAGTGTTTCCCTTGATCAATAGGGTGGTTGTTAGGAAACCCTATGTTTGACAACGGGTCTCTGCACCATGCCACACAAGCAGGAGAACCCAGCCATGGCTGTCAGACAATTTTTGTGACCACATCACTCCTTACATCTGGCCACCCAACACCCTAGACTGCAACCACTTTGATTATTATGTGTTGAGCGCAGTTGAACGAGAGACCAACAAAACTCCTTGTAACATCAAAGATGAAGTGAAGATAAGCATTATGGCAGCATTCATCAACTTAAACAAGGAGACCATCCAGAAGAGTTGCAGGATATTCCGAAGTCGTCTGGAGCCCGTAGTTGAAACCAAAGGCGATTGTATTGAATAAATAAATTTACTCTTTCGTATTTCAAGATAATTTTGTATAATTCTGGTAATTACAGCTGTTAAAATAAGATTTCATTTGTGCGTAATTTAACGACAATTTATCCATCGCACCTTGTATATAAATAAACCTAAGTAGATAGATAGATAGATAGATAGATAGTGAGTTAAACATATAGACCAGATATTACAGATTCTATAAGCATATATATTGCCTGATGTCACTTAAAAAAAAGCCCATGTTGACGCCGTCGTCCAATGTGAAAACAATAAGATGACCGTCAGACAAATCCTATATTATAGATAGGACTGATTGGTCAAGTCGTTAGTATTAAGGCGTTGTGACTATGATACCAGGGGTTCAAATCTCGCAGTTGTCGATTTGTCAAGTAGATGGCTTCTTGAAAATATCGGTATGGAAAGAATATCCTAGCGTGCAACACAGTTGGGTAATTCCTGAAAACCCATACCTCTGGAGCGGAAGTGAGTAGGCGAAACTCTTTGAAAGCTGTCGAATATCTGCAGATGAGGAAGCTGGAAGCGCCAGGAACGCCTGATTCAGGAGCATGCCCCTGCTCTTAGCCGGGATACGACGGCTTGTCCATTATTGGAAAACCTACCAAAGACTGATGCTCCTGACGGCATAACACGAAGTCACAAGGCGCATGATTTGAGCGTATTGGCCCAGTTCAAAAACTGATTGTTCGCTTTTTGTAAATAATTGTAATTAATTATAACTAAATTGTAACTAACACTCGCTCAGGTTTCTTCTTCTTTTGTGTGCCGTTTCCCTTCAAGACATTGGCTCTCCACAATTTCCTGTCCTTTGTAGCGATTAATATCTTTTGTCTTTTTTGCCATCTCTTCCAAACCCAGCTCTGCCATTCATTCGCTCAAGCTCCATGTCACTTACATAGCTACAAGCCAACCTATATTCCCTCCGTAGTTCGTCGGCAAGAAGTGAGTTCCACTCAAACAGCTTCTTCTTGAGAACTACTGTCAAGAGGATGTTTCTCCGATCACTAAGATCTTAAGCTGTTGAAGTCTTAAATTAACCGTTTTCTTCCTATCTTATCCATATAAATTACCCCCCCCCTAAACGTAACACTCTATCTCTAGTCGCCCCCCGGGCCTTTTACATGGTTAACCTTACTGTAAAAAAAAACAAAATCAAAAAGAAGCTCGTCCTGTACGTTGTGCTTTGCTTTCCATTCCTATGGCCTTCTTACCTTCAGTCTTGTGAGTATCAGATTTTCCAAGCCCTCTTGTCAAGTGTCCCGGAAATTTTAACTGTCTCTTCCTGATTAAAATATGTTTCAGTATAAACTGCAGATTGACTCTGTGGGTGTTGAAAAAAAATGTTTGGTGGTGTATATGCGATATAGGGTTTAGCTATCAATCCCAATGGACTCTATAGTCTTCTGAGGCCGACGGACGGCTACTATATTCCTTGCCTGGTTATAGGATCAACCATTTCTTTAGTATAACAAAGATAACACTGAAATCGATCGATTGATACTTAAATCAATAGATTTATATAGATAAAATAGACAGGCTTACTATTTATGGTATGTTGTTTTTAGGTTTGTGTTTTTTTTGTTTCGAATTCCCAAAAGAGCGCTTTATTTCATACTCAGCTTAGAAGCGAGATCTGGAGAACGTCTGGTGATTTAATTCATAAGTTGTTATTAAATAACTTCAAGCAATAATATTACTCTTCTTTTGGCGGTCTGGAAGTCAATATGTAAATTTTGTTAAGGATTTACACTGCATTGACTTTCCTTTTTTCCGGTCGTTTTTTCTTTAACATTCCAGAAGATAAAATACATTCAAAAGAAATGCGCCAGACTCCTCCTGCTATGTCCTATCCCTACAAGAGTCACATAAGACCAAAAAATGGAAAATTGCTGCCATTTCTGGGCAGGAGCTGTACCACAATCACTTTCCTGTCTTTGCAGAATTCAAAGACATTTACTCAGGCTTGTGGTAAATTCCCACATGAAATGTGGCTCGCCTATCGCTTCTCTATTACAAATTACTTGGCAAATGTTCAGACGAGCTATATTGCTTAGTCCTACGAGTTCAGAACGTCCCCAGTCCTGGGTATAACGATAAACTACATCCGCGTCCTGGGTAAGACGATAAACTACGTTCAACAGCAAGGCCTCTGATCAGGAGGTCTTGAGGAGCGTGGAACCACCTATTAATTGCTGGTGTTCCCAGGTCCACTCTGACCCGGGATCGTAGCACCTGTTAGGATCACAGCTATGGGCAAATATCTAACCCCCACACTGGGGTCAAAACACTATGAAAGTGTAAAAATAGGTCTTAATACCAACAATACATTTTTGAAGGAAAAGTTATTACCAGCTATATATTTTTGAGGAAAAAAATATTACCAGCAATACATTTTTGGGAAAAATATTGCCAGCAATAAAAATGTTGTCGACATTAAATAACCCATTGAGGATGATATACCGTAAAACAAACCAAACCAAACCAAACCAATCAAACCGTCGCAGCTAATACCAGCCGTTTCACGTACATAGGATCGAATCGTTTTATTTTTCCCTGGAATTTCATAGGTTAAAAGGAAATTCCGCTCGGACAGCTTCTCAAGAAATATTACTTCGTGGAATAGACTCCCGATTGAATTTCAGTTTCACTATCTATCTATCTATCTATCTATCTATCTCTCTCTCTCTCTCTCTCTCTCTCTCTCTCTCTCTCTCTCTCTCTCTCTGGCTAGTTTCACGGTGGCACTCCAACGCTTTATACGCCGCCTACGTTGTTTTGAATGGTCCGTGGAAAAAGACGCTGACTGCGTTATCACAAATGATGCAGAAGTTCTAATTCGAAATTTTGTCCGGTGCGGCCCGGTTCAGTCCAGTCTCATGAAATAGTCACTGATAGTGTTGGTGACGTTTCGAATAAATAAACTAGAGAAGCATTTGGTAACAAGTCTAAACATGTTTATCGAAATATGATGACAAATTCAAAAATTGATTTCTTTTATAGCTTAATTCTTTTTCTATGGATTATCAACCCTTTGCAGGTTATTTAAAGCCAGAAAATATTTTTTAATTGTAAGAATTTTTTTGAGATAATATTGATTTAGTGAGACAAATTTTACTAATTAACCCATAGCTTGGGGAGAAGAGATGCATTCATACCTTTTTCAATCATATTTGTGCGTAAGTAAATATAATGACCTAACTGAAATTGGAACACGATTAACAATTCGAAGCCAATATGATGGGTCCTGATCTGGCATCTTGTCTACAGACACTTTCTCACAGACGTGCCGTGGCTTCCCTCTGTCTCTTCTACAAGTATTTTCACGGCAACTGCTCCGACGAGCTACATTCGCTGGTATCCAGACTACATGAATTTAAGCGTACTACTAGGCTGGTATCTCGGTCACACCCTTTCACTGTCGAAACGGTTAAATGTAACCACCTCTTCTGCTCCAACAGCTTCTTTTCTTGCACTTTCCATCTGTGGAACTCCCTTCCTCCCCCTGACAGTTATCATTTTCAAATATCCAAATATAATGTCAATCGACATCTTCTGATGCCTTGAACTTGTTCCCCGTCCTTCTCTTTATCCTTTCCTCAAACATGCCTCTTTACTCTGGCTCCCACTATCTGTAACCCCTTGCGTCCTAGTGACACTCCCGTCTTGCTTGGGGTGAAATGTCTAAAAAAAATATTCATTATCCGACCCACACATCGAATCTTGCAGCAATTGGTATTTCCAAGTGGACACCCATCCAGGCTCGATGTTGCTTAATTTTCCCTATGCCTACCTCGAAAAATAAGATAAAATAATCCGAACTTATAAATCCCCTTTATATGCAGCTAATAATCTTTTTTCGCTAACCTCAAGAGTAAATTCTTTTATGTGCTCTATCCTTTCAGAACGAGATAATCATGGCTCTCCACAACTTCCTATATTATATTGAACTTAGGAATTTTTGTCTTTTAACAAGAACACCATTGTGTCTTACAATGGTGTTCAATGGTGCTATGTTAACCTTCGTGAATACCTTTTGGGTGTCTTGAGATGGTGTCAATCTTATCAAGCTGTCTCCTGGCAGATATAAACTATTAGGATTCATACATTTCTTTTTTCTTTTTTTGTCAACCCTGAATCTTTAATGCAGTTTGCGCTTACAGCCACATCACGTTGAATCTCCGGTTCCCGTACGATCACCAAAGTTAAACAACATCCAGCCTGGTCAATACCTAGATGGGTGATTATTTTAACTGCCGTCACTCCTCGGCAGGGTTTATTGTTTTAAAAAGCAATGATTAGATTTCAATAAAACCTAAGCATAAGAAATTGAATACATACATTTCCTTTGTTCTTGAGAAATGACAACAAAAATAAGCATTAGATTATTTATTGGAATGGTTGGCTAATCATCGGCTAATTGCCTATTGTTTCGAACTTTATAAAATGGTAAATGATAAGGATTTCCTTAGAGTTGGCGCACATATTTTTATAATTTAGCAAATTGTTTCTATATTTATTTTGTTACAAACTTGTAAATGATAAATATTGTATTACATTAGTTTTAATATAATTGTATTACTTTTTAATTACTTATTACTTGTCATGAATATAAAATTATTCTTGTAAATAAATAATCTATTAGTTAAAAAGCATTTAATATTTTTTGTAAATTCTCAAGAACAAAAAATGTACAAATCCACTTTCATTCTATTAGAATTCTAGTGATCGTTTTTAAAACGATAAACATTGTCGAGGAATGAAGGTAGTTAAAATAATAGCGTTGTCAAGGGAAAGAGCATCCGTTTGACACTTCGTTTATTTATTTTTGTTTCTGTTTTTTGTTTTGGGTGGTTGTGCGAGCGCGAATGTTAAACATTTACCAACATTACCAATTGCCAACATTTATTTATGGCATTTTGAAAATATTAAAAACTTTAATTAATTTTAAAATCCTAAAAACCACTAAAATCTGCGTCACTGGTTTTGAGAGAAAATGCTAATTTTTTTTTTAAAAGTCGTTCATTGATGATTAAAAGTATTTTGTATAATTGATTTACTTTTCATAGTAGGTTTCGGCATAAGTCAAATAGAATTATTATGGAGGGGAGACTTTCTTTTTTTCATTACTTTTGTTTCTTTTAGGTTTTTTTTTTTTTT